AGTTTGTTTTAATTTCCATAATAGCCATGAAAACAAGATAACTCCAGGTACGTCCAAAAGTTCTTAAAATGACTTAGTGGAGCCCAAATGCTTTCATTTTAATTTATGTTATATGCTTTTTATATGATTGTCTGTTTTTGTCTGTGCCTCATCTGTGTTCGTTGTTAAAACAGGTCGTCCTGTAAATGAGTCCTCAAGGCTCAATGAGACTGACCTGTAAAGCTTGAATGAATGAATGAATGAATGTTGTTACCAGGAAATGTATACACCATCCATGCTACAATAACAATGACAAATAAGTGGAATATAACTAAAACTATTGTAATAGTTAAAGATTCCAAAGAACACAGATATTGCTGATTGTTACGTGCTTGGGGCACATCGGTCTTATTATTTTGTCCTTGGGACATTTCTTGGGTTTGATTGATTAACTTTTAATTGTTTTGGGCTGTGGCCTTTTCTGCCCCACCTGTTTAAGAGTCTGGTCCCGGGGAGCTCTTATCTCCCCTTTCCCCCCCCCTCTCTCTCTCTTTTTGCCCCTCTCTGGCTCCCACACTTTTGAGCTGCCTCTCACAGATGCACTGGTTTTTGGACTCCTCTGGTTTGGACTTTTTTTTTTTTTGCTGCCCTTGTCTTATTCTGGAGCCTTTAGTTGTCAGCTTGATTTTTTTGTCTTCATCCTGGAGCGGTGGCCTGCAGCCGGCGGCATCGGCCACCACAGGTAATTTTTGTTAAATTTTTTGGTATTGATTTTGGCCTGGTAGTCCTGTTTTCACGCTTTCTTTTATAATATATATATATTTTTTGTAGCTTTAGTCTGGTATCAGCAGCGGCTTCGACGGCCCTGTAGGGCTGGCCCGCTGCTGTACCTTTTTCGTTTGGCTTGGCCTGCTCACCAGGTCCATCTTTAAGTTACTTTGGGTTTTGCGTCTTTTTTTGGGTGGACACGTGAATTTTAATTTTTTTTTAAGGAACCAGCTGAAAAATAAATTTTAATGTTTGAACCCTCCTTATTTGTGTCTCGTGTCCTCCTTTGGACGTAACACTGATGAAAGATGATGTCTGCTGGCCTCCTTAGATAGAGAACTTTACTAATTGGCTTTTGTATGTATGTGAATATTTCTCTAAAGTGCCCTGAGACAATTCTGTTGTGATTTGGCGCCATATAAACAAACTGAATTGAAAGCAGTTCATTATTATTTGTAGAACATTGTAATATCTGTCATGCGGCATGTGACGCAACAAAGCCAGCACCTTTATCCCAGTATAACACCAGTATATAAAATAAGCATTGATATGCAATCAAAGTTAACAGTTAAGACTAAATTCCTTCTCGAACCAACAGACTAGTGTAGGAATGCAAACGGATAAAGAGGCAAATGTGAATGTTGAAAGAAAATGCGTGCTTTTGTACCAAAAATGACAGAACGAATGGTAAAACGCACACTTTGTTCAATGTCACTGCAAGCATGACTAAATGTTTGCACGAGGATGGTGAAGCAGAAACGAAAATAGGATTAGTCATGGCCTGAAATGTGACAACATGAAATAGAATAGGTTTAAGTTATTTACCAGAGGAACCAATTTAATGGATCAATGACACAAACATGAGTTTCCTTTGTGTTTTGGCTCCTTAAAGAAATTAAATAAATGAGTATTATGTAAAAGTTTAACATCTAGACATCATTTTAATCTTTTTTTTTTAATCTTTGGGGCTAGTTTTAGCTGTGGATCAGCACATTAGCTGCACGATTACAGAGCAGCAGGTGTTGCTGAGATTCAACAAAAATAATCACCAATATGCGAAACTGAGATTTCATTTTTTTTTAATAAACTTTAAACAAATATGGAGAGCAAGAAATATATGTAGGGTGTATGAGTTGTATTTCTTTCAGGAGGATAGAAAGCATTATTTTAACTTTGTGCACACAAATTCTAAAAAAAAAAAAAAGAAATCATAAAATTTGGAATAATATAAAAATACTAGTAAAGTTTAGGTAGATGATTTCAGGAACAGCAGCTTTAGAAGATGTAGGAGTCAATAATAAAAATATACAGAGGATTTAAAACATTTATTGAGGATCGTCAAAGAATACAAGAGAAAAAGCGTCGATATCTGCAGCGTGAAATGACAGCTGTGGCTCCACACCGCTGCCCTGCTCCGGTGGACGTGCAGCTCAAGAAAAACAGGTTCTGATCTGAATTCCATTTTGTCTTTCACTTAAAATGTTGACCTGGTTTGCAGAGTTAGCTCAAGTTAATCTACTCAAACCTGAGCGTGCAGCAGCTCTTTAAAAAAAACAAAAAACTTTTACTTTCATCTTCGGACGCCTGATTGGTATTTTTTATTTTCAAAAAATACAATGAAATATAAAACACGTATTTTAAAAAAAAGTTAAGTAGTCTTTCTTTCTTGTGCAGTATGAAATGAGCGTTTTCCAAACTCTGTAAAAGAATTGTGCATTAACATGTTTTAGCAAAATATTTAGCAAATCCTCTCTATTAGTGCAGTGATGTCGTGTTCAGTGACTAACGCTGGCCAGTTAAACGTGAAGGAACTATGTCTCTTGAAGGTTATTTCGTACAACTAACTCAAAATGTTTTTATTATTTGAATAATATTTCCAAACTAGAAAGTTCCTGGATAAACACTGATGGGGACTGCTACACTGCGGCCATTTAATTTTTTTAGATTTGATAGAACTACGTGTTGGGAGTTTGCGCTCAGCTACCGCTACGCCAAATTTCAGCTTAATATCTCTAAAATAGGTTGATTTATAGTATTCTTTCTTTTTAGCTCACACCGCCATCTTGAATTTTTGATTTGCTTTACTAAGGTTCGCTCTCAGCGACCAATGCACCAAATTTCAGTTCAAAAACTCTAAAAACCTCTGAGTTATATCCATTTGAAATGACCATCTTGCATTTTTAGATTTGAATTCAGAATATGTTGTGCATTGCTGTCCGGTACCACCACACCAAACTTCAGCTCAATCTCTTTTAAAATTGCTGACATAGTATTTTTTCCCTGAGGGTACACATTGCGGTTCAGGCTGCATTAAAGTTGACGGAAGAGTAAGATCAGTGACGTGCAGTCAGGGGAGGCATGACAAGTAAAATTCTAACAATGATAAGAGAAAATATATTTGATAGTTCTGTAAAGCTCTTCTATTAAACGGTTGTCTGAATTATTTCAACACTTCAATGGTCAAAATCGCAGAATTTACGCATTGCCTGTTCAAACACATGGAAGAAATGCAATGGTAGTGCTCTGTTTCACCTCTGGGGGCGCTGTGTCATACACAATAAATGAAGTAGGTGGTTGGCTCATGTCCATTGCTGTCACACTTTATATCTCCAATATACGTTTGATTACACATGCTGATGTTCTACAGTCTGCCTAATATATTGAATGAATGTGTGTGACATTTCATCTTTCTAATCGATCATAAATGCACAATTAAAATACACAGGGTGTGGCAGAATATACCTTGCCGCACCAGTAGGGGGCAGTGCTGCCCTATAAAGAAAATGAAGCAGGTGCAGTCCTGTGCATTCTTCTGTTATGCAGAGGGGCAGCAGCGGATCCCCCCCAAACGTTTGACCTTACATTAAATATTTTGTTTTTCTAGCCATCGTTGTCGAACAGTATGGAGTTGATTAAAGCAAAATTACACACCTTTTAAAAAGAAAAAAAAAAGGCTACATTAAAATATAAGCTTCTATTTTGGGTTCATATATGTGACCATCCAGTTCCGGACAAGTCAGTGCTTCACCTGTCACAAACTTCACTGCACGTCACTGAGTAAGATATAAAGTTAAGAAACCCTTGTCAGGTGGATAATGATAGGTGGCTGCCTTTCTAGGCAGTTCCCAATTACCGTATTTTTCGCACTTAAAATCCTTTATTTTTCTCAAAAATCGACAGTGAGCCTTATGCATTAGTTCTGGTTGTGCTTACTGACCTCAAACTGAACAATGTTGAGAGTTATTGTGAATGAGTTGAAGAAAGTTTGACTTATCTGACTGTTTTGTTTCGCTTATAATTTTGCCTTGTAACCCGAAAAACACGGTAAGAAAGTGGGAGTTAAACTATAAACTGGAGATGAATAGCCGTGCTTTTATTTCCTGTCATTTAGATTCATTACCTCTTTACACAACAACAACTGTTGATCAACTCCAAAACGCTCCTAACTGGATGAAACAGAACAAAGCATGTGACTCCTGCGTCTTTTCACTGGTGATCTGCTGAACTGATTTAAAAGTTTTGGCTCCACGTGGACAAGCTCCTTCTTATGTTGCTGAATTGTTAAAGCCATATACTTCAGCTCGGGTTCTCGGGTCCTTCAGGAAGAATCTCCTGATTAGACGCTCCTAAAACTCAATATGAAACTCAGGGTGGGGGATCGCTCTTTCAAATCTGTTGAACCTCGACTGTGGAATGAACTTCCTTTGTTTTTTACCTTGTATTTATTGACAGTTGCCTTTAAAACAGCTAAAAAGACTTTTTCATCAGACTTGCTTTGATTTAGAACTCTTCACGACACCATGCTTAGTTTGTTATTTGTCCTTTTTTAAATTACATGTATTAAATTTATTAATTTGCCTCTATATGTACTATTGTATTTATTTTATTGTAAAAGCACTTTGTGGTTTTTAATCTATGAAACGCGCTACAAAATCAAACTTTACTTATTTACTTACTTCATAAAGTCATCAGTTAATGAAACCTGTGTGCAAAAACCAATTTATACTTCAAGTTGATTTTCAAACGCTTGATGAATTGGTAGAAAAACAGGCGACTGGCGGAGCTTTAGTTATAAAATAAATCTTGTGTATTAACAGTAGATCTGAGTGTTAAATTGTAAAAGTGATATTTGGTCACTTAACGTTCATTAGGAGTTACGTTTCTGGAGAAAAAACAGTTTTAGGCTTCTATGTTGAAACATTTCGTCTTAGAATGAAGAAGTCTTTTTGGATAAAAAGACAAAACAAAGAAGAATCTGTCCAGAGGTCCTCTGAGCATGCATCAGGACATTTTAGGCTTCTGTTGCTTTATTTTGGACTTAAAAGTACAGTTAGTATTTTCTTTTTGTGATGAATAGAGGTTGCTTATGTTAAACGAACAGGCAGAGACGATGCGACTGAATCGTTTTCTGCAGATTTTCATATATATTTGTCCTGATGAGCACGTATTTGTGTCTGATCTCTTATCCAATCACACCAGCAAATGTTAACGCATCAAATTTGTTTGCATGTGCAATGCCAAGCCAGCAGACATTAGAAACTAAGTACTGTGTCAATCCATAAGTCCAATGGTACAGAAGGATCCAGCAGGCAGGCTGCTGGCAGTGATGATGCACCAGTCCAGCTCACTGCTGTGGGTTTCCTTTACGTTGTTACTTCACAGCTACAACTGTGGTGTTGTGAAGGGATTCCATGACAGCAGCCAGGCGGCTGCACAGGTCGTGCGCCTGGTTGACATGGACTTGTGGTGGATCTTTAAGCACCACTCTGCCGGTGGAACCGTCCAGAACCCTGGGAAGCAACTCACCCAGCTTTACCTGCAGTGCATCTGTAAAAAAATGGACAAGCAGCAGCAATTAGAACTAAAGTATTTATTTACTGTTTGAGGAAGTGCCACTGTTTAAGGTATATTTAGGTTATAGTTGGTTTAGGGTTACGACTCGGGGCTTAATTTGTAAACCAAATGATGCCGGAATGCAAATAGTGGACGAGGGGATGGGTCTGGGGGTCCTCCCCCAAAAAATTTTGAATAAAATAGATGCCATTTCCTGCCTTCTGGTTTATTTTACAAAGGTTTATTACAGCAGATTAATATGAAACAAACGATGCAAAAATCTCTTTGACTGCAAAGTGTTCATAATGCAACACCGCCGCAGCTCTGCAGGTAAGGGGCGTTCACTACAGGACAAATTGAAGGAGGTCGCTGATTGGTCAGTTGCTGACATGCTTACTGGATTGATTGACAGGTGGGTCGAGGATCCAACTACTGCAACAACAAAAAAAATCTTAGATTTTACTGGCCCGTTTAGGACTGCCATCATTTATTTCATATTTATTCCATATTTTGGTGAATCTAAGGTTTGAGAACTGAGTTTCCTTAAAAAATCCTAATGATGTGGATAAAGCACCTGGAGCTTCTCAACAAAATGATCATAGTCACTTCTGTTGGGCAGGTGCCCACCTTGGGACAACAAGTGCAGCTCTGGTTTTGGCCACACTTAGAAAAAAACTGCCTAATATTTAACACTTTGCCACTGGCTTAGAAAAGAGTTGCTCTCAATTCTCCTGCTGAATTCAGAAACGTGTCCTGGTTGCTCCGACATGGCTTCAAATACTCTGAGCTTTATGAGCCGAGACCATCGTCTCCTTGTTGCAGTTCAAATGATAGTTCAGATAACTCCTGCAGTGGTTCACACATCAGATTGTTCACAAAAGTGCAGGAACTTTTACATAGCGCAAAACGTTTAATTATATTTTTGTGTTTTTTTAATAAAATTGCCCATGACTTTGAACTTTTAGGGGCGGAGATTTTTACACGGAAATTCGAAGCAACAGCTCTGATGTGATATTATGAAGCTTGTTATGTTTAAAATGAGTGTTTATGTACTTAGTTTCAGTTTACATATCCAATATAGGTTTTATTCATTCAATGAAGTCAAATTTGTTCATAAATTTATTATTAGTAAGCCTGAGCGTTACCAGTTACTGGAATGCACCCTGTCAAAATAAGAAAGTTCCCAGCTCTTGTTCTGGTAGGATCCGGCTCAAATTAAGCTCTGGTTATATTGTACATGCACATTTTTAGCTGTTTGAAATTTCCTGTGGAGTTTTTGAACTCATTGTACAACTTAAATACAGCACCTTTTCAGAAAGAGTAACAAAGAAAACAGCGGTGGCATTAAAAATAACAACAAACTGAAAGACTTTACTTCATGTTGTTTGAATTTTCGGGGTTATTTGGTACAAGCGATAACTGAAAGAGGAGTTGGGTCGTAGAGTTCACGAAGATGTAAAGTTTGCACTTGATGAAAAAGTGTCTAGAACATGTTGCACCTTGTTCTGTGGTGTGCTCTTTATGACTCACCATCCATGTCCTGGCCCAGGCAGCAGCACCAGTGGCTGCGGATGCTCTCCATAGCGTCCCGGTCCTCCTGAGATAACGCTGAGTCCCGGCTGATCAGGTGAAGACACGGGATAACGACCTCATCCATGATGGTGACGCCCTCTTCCACTTTGCTCTCGTCACCGCTGCAAAACAGGCAGGATGCGCTCTCGTTCAAAGCCTGATGTTAGGTGGACAGAGACGGAGAAAAGAGGAATAGTTCTTGTCACAAAGATGTTGTAGTTAAGTATTTCAGCTCTTTATGAAAATGAACTTAACTCTTATTATCCACCCCCACAGGTAAAGGGGGTGTGCTTGTATGTTTGTTTATTTATGTTTTTACCGTGGACAAAATGTCTCAGGAATAACAAACTTTAATAAAATTTCTGAACGCAATCACTGGGTTGACACCAAATTATTTCCTTTTGAAGTCAACCAAATTCAAGATGGCCACCACAAGCAAAGCAATCTTAGCAAACAGAAAAATGGGTATGACTCAGTTGGTTTTACAGATATTGAGCTAAAATTAGGTGTGGTAGTAGCTGAGACTTATCCCCAACTTATGCGCTTGATTAATAACTTATTGCATTTTTTTTCTTCTTTCGGCTGCTCCCTTCCTCAGGGGCCGCCACAGCGAATTAACTCGCACGAAGACTTGGCGATTGTTGTTACGCCGGATGCCCTTACTGACGCAACCACAGACCACCGAGCTACCACAGCCCTCTGTGTGGAGCAGATGGTGGGGGTTAAGGGCCTTGCTCAGGGGCCCAGCGTGGGGCAAATGAGGTTGGAAGCAGGTGCTTCATCTATCCACATTTTTGATGTTGTCGGTACCAGGAGTTGAACCGGCCACCTTCCGATCACAGGCCACCTTCTCTAAATTCTGCGCCACCACCCCCCTCATAAAATCTGTTTATAATTTAGTCCATAACTATTGGAATCAGTTCTGTCTGTTTGCTAACAAAACATCTCATGAACCACTGAATGGATTTTAATGAAACGTTCAGAAAGTAATCCTTGCTCATCTACAAGTGATTATCTCTTGGAGTCATCCCTATTCCAGATGGTTGACACAAGCACGTGACTTTAGCCTAAACAAAAATGACCACCTTAGTGAATTTTACAGCTAATGACCTAAAATTTGGTGTGGTAGTGGCTGTCAGTCATTCACAACACTTATTCGAAGCTCTAACAGATCATGCGAGATGTTGCAATATCGCATGAGATCATGCATCATCTTAATTTCAAGGTTTGAACCAAACAGCTCCAGCTCCAGCTCCGTCATTTCTTAAGATGATATTAGCCTAAATCTACGGCACAAAAGTGAGACTTCATACTGGTATCGTAGGGATACTAGGCTTTTATTTGAGTAGTATGTGACTTCAGTGTAAACATCACAAAGCTGGCATTGGGAAACTAACCCGAAAGCATCTCATTTCAAACTTTGTTTTGCTAAAAACAAAGCCTAAATAAGGGAATGTTGGCCCAGTCACTGTCCTGCTCAAACGTTTGGCTCACAGGAAAATATTTAAGCAACTGGCCAGATGTCATGAAATGTCAAATGGAGAATGATATTTCCCAGAAGAAGACAGAAATGACTTTGATGAGCCTCAAAGTTTCTTCTGATGCAAACCAGCATCTCTTTATTATGGACATGTTTTGCTTTGAGCTTTAGCGTGGGAATATTAAACTTGAATTCAGTTATTTCTGCTTACACGGGTTGCTTTACTCACAGTGAGACATTTCCTCCTGTAAACTGCAATGAGAGACTTGTCCACACCACGTTTGTCCCCCTTCTTCAGCAGGGCGGCGTTGGTCTCGTATGCATGAGCCAAGTAGTTCAAGGCTTCTTGCATCCTGAGGCACAAAGAGGGCACAATCACACCAGCAACAAAACATACTAAAATAGCAAATTTATTACACAGTATGCTAAATCCAGCGTAGTATTCTAGCTTAAAACTACCTATATGTTTGGATTTACTTATACAGTAGTCCCTCGTTTATCGTGGGGGATCCATTCCCTGAAGAAGGAATACATGTAGTAAGCAGTTTGTTTCTAAACTCTAAATGCTCTAAAAGAGCACAGCATGTCATGATCTTGGCTCTCGACCACGCCCACTTCTCCTCAGCAGAACGGAGATCGACAGAGGAGGAGGGAGGAGCTGCAAGAGGAAGTTTCTCCTGCAGTGTGGGCTGCACACAGGTGCAGCAGGTGCTAAATAATTTAAAATAATTAATTTTACATAAAATTTTCATGCTGATCGTGCAGCTCATCCATCAGTTAGCCAATTGTGTGTCGTGTCCAATCTTATTTTGAAAAACCGCGATAGAGCGAGTCCGCGAAAAACGAACCACGAAGTAGCGAGGCACTACTGTGTGTATATATGTATATAAAAAAGACGTTTTAAACTCTTCCCACACTCTTGTAATATTTTAAACAATGTTTCTACACTCTAAATGCGCTAAAAGAGCACAGCATGTCATGATTTCAGCTTTCTGTCACGGCTGCACTCTGCCACTTCTCCGCTGCAGAGCGGAGATCAGCTGATCAGCTGCAGGAGGGAGCTTCTCTGCAGCTGTGGTCTGCATACAGGTGCAGCAGGTGCTAAATAATTCAAAATAATTTATTTTAAATAAAAATTCCATGACGACCGCGTGGCTCTTCCATCAATCAGCCAATTGAGTGTCATGTCCAGTCTTACTTTGAAAAACGCGATAGAGCGAATTCACGAAAAACAAACCGCGAATTAGCGAGGGACTGTATAGTGATACAAATCTACATTTCTATATATCACTTACCGGGTATATACATTTTATTTCTGTTGCTTTTACAGCACAATAATAATTCATAGACATGTAGTACAACCTTTTGGTCCAGCAGTGTTGCAGTGAATATCTGACACTTACTTTCCATGCTGGTAGTGCTCCAGTCCAGTCAGCAGATGGACAAACACCGTCCTGAACAGCCTGTAGTCATCGTGCCACTCCTGTGAGAAAAGAAAACACAGAAAATCACCAGCAGTCTCTTCATTTGTGCCTTTATTACACTGTTAGTACAGTGGAGTGATGCAACAGTAAGTCATGCTTTCACTTCAAACCTTTTTTAATTTATTTTCAGAGAAACTGCAAGATGAGGCTCAACTGATGTATTCTAATATAATTATAATGATGATGATGTGTTTTATTTACAAAGTTCTATTGAGGAACAATCAAACATAATAAATATACATATTATCATATCAATAATCTTATTAAAAATTAAGGTGAAAAGAGTAAAAACAACCTAAAACTTGAATCTGTCATATGAACACAATTTTCTCAAAAGTGTACAGGAATTTGTCAAGTTCTTATTCTAATAAATGGACAGGATGTACAGACTTCAAGCTGAACCCCCCAAAAATCAGATCCAAATAAACTAAAAGGATTAGAGAATTAATTTACTAAACATAAACAATTGTTCTGTTAAGTTTTGTAATGACACTGACATAACTTGATCTTTTAGATTGATATTTGACAACTATTAGGAGAAAATGTTATTACTTGCAGATAGTATTGAGAACATTTTCACAACTGTGAGTTGCCTTTGTAAAAAAAAAAAATAAAAATAAATAAAATCTCCCATCAACATAGTAGTTTACTGTATTTATTTTAAATTAGTACCAAATTAATGACACTATTGTGTCTTGGTGGAAAATATCTGAAATGTGCATTATTTTCTGCAACTCACAGCAGAAATGTGTGTGTAAACAAATAAACTGATATAAACAAAGTGTTTGTGTGCTGTGTGTAAATAACAGAACCTCTCAACGCCCCCTGGTGGCCTCATATAAGAACATACCACTAAATTAACAATAAATCTATTCCCATCCTCTTGTAGAATTTAGTGTAAAACCCTAAAAAAAAGTGTTTTTTTTTTAAAGCAAGAAGAAACAAATCAATTTCCACTGGAGTAATAAAGTTAAAAATAATTAACTACAAAACATGAAAATACAGTTATGTGGCAAACTTGGCAGCATTTAACTGTCCACTCATCTGACCAGACAGTACCATGTATTCATCCATGTCCATGTCCTCTGGCTTAATGAGACGAAGCTTGGACCGGGCTTCTCTCATTATACTGATGGCCCTGCATGAACAACAAGGACAGCTGGAGTTTGTAACGGAGGTGATAAAAAGACCAAGTTACAGATCACAGGTTCGACGATAGATGGCAGACAGAACATGCCGAATCGTCTCCTGACAGTCTAACAAAGCTTCGTGAGGCGCTGGAATCAGTAACGCCTGTTAAATCCCTTTCACACACTATTACACTGTTCAAACAATCAAAGTGAAAAGGCTGTTATAATTTCAAGAGAGGCTTCTTTTGGTGTATGTTTTACCTATATTGTGTCCAGCTCATTTCTCTTATTTTAAATCTTTACCCCACCCAAAAAAACCCAGCTAAATGACATAAACATCCAAGACTTATGAACGAGCCGTTTGCCTGTGTGCACCTTTCGTCAAAGCTCAGGTTGCGGTCTGTAAACTGCTCCAGAAGCGTCCTCTCAATGACACGTTTGGGCGCCTTGTTTTGAAAGAAGTAAACCAGAGCGTGCTGCAGACGGGCATCCTCCTGGGGGGTGTTCTCCTCCTGCGAGAGCTCATACAAGCGGGAATACTCCTCATGGAAGGCCTGAAACAGCAGTGGAGAATTTAACGTCGCAGTTTTTCATAAATAAGACAAGAACAAACATGTGGTTCAGTTGAACGCCGAGTGAAGCAGCACCGAATCACTCAGCAAGACATTGAACCTATTATAACGGCTTTAACATCAATTTAAAGCACGTGGTTTATTTAAATCATCATTTACAAAGAAAACGAATATATTGTACTGTAAAAATATCTTCAAAATAAAATATTTTGTGGAAAAGACGTGAAAGATAGCATATCCCTCAGAAAACACATTTTTGTTTGTTTCGGATATTATTTCACACGAGGCAAAGATATAATTAATTAGAGAATGAGTTGAGCCATCTCAAATCAATTGTTGATTGTATGTAGTTTTCTGTTGATGGAAGAGAAAAGAATGCTCAGCTTCCCTCGGATACCTCACCTTGATGAGGCCAGCCTCAGGGCCTTCTTTGTCAAATGTTTGCCTGGCCTTGGCTATGGCGAGGATGACGCCTTGCATGGCTGGAGTGAGCATCATCTAAGAAAAACAGAAAAACAAACTCAAAAAACGGAAGGATTTTTATTAACCTAAGATTCCAGATAGGCAACTGAGTTAAAACCATCGTAAATAAGGTAACCTTACCGTACCAAGAATAAATTTAGTTCATACGGGAACAATTTTGATGTGGCAAAAGATGCTGAAATCTTATCTGACATCATTTATTTACCTCTTCATTGTATCCATCAGCATCAGCCCTCACCGTGATCCTGCCCACATTGGGAATCTCCACCTCGGAAACCTCGTTCTCCACCTGTCGCTGTCTAGTCGAAGCCTCCTGCTGCTGCTCCTCAGCTCCCTGCTCTGCTCCAAGTTCAGGAGCTCCTCCGGAAGCTTCATGTTCTTTAGTTTCAGAGCTGAGTTCTGCCACATCCCTCTGTTCACCGTGTTCAGGTGGTGTCTGACTACTCAGATCCGCATCCTGGACTGGGGTCTGACCAAGACAGGATGAACAAAAACTTATTATGTTGCCTTATATCTATCGTTGTCAAAAATATTATTTTCACTTTTATAGTTTTGAGACCTTAGGGGTCAAATGAAGTTGATTACAGTTGTGTGACAAAATACAAAAGGCATCACAGTGGTCCCTCGTTTATCGTGGGGGATCCGTACCCTGAAGCCCCGCGATAAGTGAAAAACTGCAAAGTAGGAATAGTAGTACAAGTAGTAATATATATATATATATATATAAAGGTATTTTAAACTCTTCCCACACTCTTGCAATATTCTAAACAATGTTTCTAAACTCTAAACGCTCTAAAAGAGCACAGCATGTCATGATCTCGGCTCTTTGCCTCGGCTGCACTCTGCACTTTTGGCCACGCCCACTTCTCCGCTGCAGAACGGAGATCGGCAGAGGAGTAAGGAGGAACTGCAGGAGGAAGTTTCTCATGCAGTGTGGGCTGCAGGTGCTAAATAGTTTAACATAATTCATTTAAAATAAAAATGCCATGCCCATCGTGTGGCTCATCCATCAATCAGCCATTTGCGTGTCATGTCTGATCTTATTTTGAAAAACCGCGATAGGGCGAGTCCGCGAAAAACGAACCGTGACGTAGCGAAGGGCTGCTGTATGTGAATGTTTCTGTTCAGTGTCCTGAGATGACTTCTGCTGTGACGTGGCGCTGTATAAATAAACTGAACTGAAATAGAATCGAATTACAAATGCAGAGCTTCCATAAAAACAAACTGTATTATAACAGATGATGTTTAACAGAACGTTAGATCAGCAGGAACCCTGCAGCAGCAATATGTCTACAAGAGTTTGATTTATTGCAGCAATAAAAACTCAAGCTTTGAATGTAAAAATTTGGTTTTGGAGAAATAAAAAACAACAACACTAACTTCATGTTATGACTAATGTATGTGAACTTATTGATCCTGATAGTCACACTGTTATCCTCTGACCCATATCCTACAAAGAGGGTATCAGTAGATGTTCTGGACTTTCCCACCTGACTCTGCAGATCAACCGAGTCTGAACTCAGACTCGTTCCCAGAGTGTCAGTGACAGCTGGAGTGTTGTTGGCGTCTGTTTGGCAGCCAGGACTCTCAGGTTGTGGCAAAATCTCTGGACTTTCTGCTGCAAAATGTACAAAAAGATGGTAAGCATCAAAACACATCTTTATAACATAATCCCATCTTGTATATAGAGTTTAAAAACGCTTTAGCAATAAAGGAATAAAAAAATCTGCAAAAGAAGGAGTATTATTTACTCAATATTTCTCAAAATGTAATAAGATATAGAATAATTCTTGTATAATTGTCACAGTCTATCGGTGTTATTCTTTGAGGTTTGGGATTTGTTTTTATGTGGCTTGATCTGAACTATGGTTTAAAACCCATGTTTAGTCAGCTATAGCTGCCAACCTCTCTTTCTGTTTCTATCTACAAAGGCTCTTTTGTTCTGTCCATTTCGTCTGCACACCTGCTCATTGTTTAGTGATGACCTTTTTCATTTTATATGCTTCTGTGCCAGCTCAGCATCATTCCTTACAGCTGTGTTAGTTTGCCACACCAAAATTAGTTCCCTAGTTGTCCAAATTACTAATTTTACTGAGATAATGTCTCATTTAGCTAAAATAAAACTATAATACCGTAATTGGTGCAGATTTCTCATGACAGCTGGCTAATTTTGAAGCCAGGAAAAAAAAGGTTGGATTATTCAGTAATCTTTCACTTTGATGTGGAAAGAGAGTATGTCAAACGAGACCGATAAAACTCTTTCTGACCAAACTGCAACCCAGAATAGAAAACAGGCACCAAGTGAAACTGGACCAAGTTTTTAATTTTTGCCCCTTTTTGTAATGGAGTTTGACACCCCAGCTGTAGAGATATACCTTTGGTTGTTTTTCCCCATTGATGGGGTAAGAAATGACCACTTCCTAATAATTATTGGTATTGGTATAAAGTTGATTCATTTTAAAAAACAAAACAATTCCATAAACTTAAAAAAAAATACAAGAAATTTAAAATGAAAGGCAGCAGAAAGAAGAAAAAATCTTATTATATCTGCCCCTTTTTTCAAACAATTTGTTCAATGATAATAATCTTCAAGTAACAAAACAAAACAACTCTTTCTAATTTTTCTAACTCTAACACAAATACACACTAAGCTACTTCATATATATATTTTTAACAATCCAGCTTTGATCTTTTTCTTAAATTAATTACACAAGTTAACGTGAGTATTTATCAGAAACCTATGTGCCTGTTAAACAGTACTGTATTTTCCACTGTACACGTCGCACAACCCTATAAGCCGCATCAGTCCAAATATGTCTAATAAAGTGGAAAAATCCATAAATATGTTGCTTCACCATATACGTCGCATCTATTATGCGTCACCTTCTTCTCCGGGTGCTCCGGTTTCCTCCCACAGTCCAAAAACATGCATGTTAGGCTGATTGGTAACTCTAAACTGTCCCTAGGTGAGAGTGAGAGAGTGAATGGTTGTCTTGTTTTTGTCTCTCTGTGTCCCTGTGATGGACTGGAGACATGTCCAGGGTGTGCCCTGACTTTCCACAGTGTCCACTGGAGAAGGACACCAGTTCCCCACGACACGGAAAGTAGAAGTGGTTAAAGCAATTTCCAAATGATGTTCTAGTTTAAAGCATTATTACATATAAAATGAATATTGTGGTTTTCTGCTGCACGTTTAAACAAAGCATCACTTTATTTTATCGGTCAACACTACAAACCTTCAGCTATCTCTCGGACATCGTCATCATTGTCCTTTTCCTCTTCAGTAACTAGTTGTGGCTCTAAAGCAGCTCCTTGGTCCAGTTCTTCAGTGGCGAGTCCTGACTGGGGCGCTGGCTCGACAGGTGTTTGCTGTAAACTGAAGCTCGGAGGTTCTGCGGTGGTTGTGGACTCTTCCTGTGGGGTTGCAGTCTGGCAGAACTGTTCCTCCCATTCGCTGAGCTCCTGCTGGAACCAGCGGTTATCTTCTTGGACGTAGCGCCTGAGGACGGGCGGCAGAGAATCCATGCCGTGGAGCACCTGGCCTGTCTCATCATCTGTGTCCTCTGAGTGAAACATAGTTATTTAATAGATTAACACAATAAAAAGTAGTCATTGGGCTATTAAAGAAATACAAATGTCAGATCTTTTTCCTCTGTAAAATATATTTTTATCACTCCCACCAATAGGTACACTTAAAAACAACCTATTGAACATGTAATACATCATAAAGGACTTTGTTAGGCCTTGTTAGCTATGGTCTCTTGTGTCAATCTATCATCTTTAAATTGAAACGATATCTCAAACATGACATTTGTCCTAACATGGAAGCTGGTTTAATTTGAGCTAAAAGTAAAAGTTTAGTAGTCCTACATGCTCAACAAGTTATTTTTATTCTTTGACATCTTTTTCAGCATCCTAAACCATTTGTTATTTGGCAGTGTATAAATTAGGTAATGACTAAACTACTTGGGCTCAGTGGCCTAAATTTAGCTGGACTACATGAGAGCTATGACTAGACAGTTTAAATCACGTCTACTGCTGCCTGAGACAGCCACTCTGCTGCATCCCACTATTTATGACAGAAACACAAACCTGTGATCAGCTGGGGTAGTCTGTCATCAATATACATCAGGCAGTATGCACTGGCGTTGGTCATGCCTCCGAACGAGTCTCGTTCAAGCTCGTCCCACGATGACTCAGTTATGATGACGTCATTGTACTTCATCCAGCGCTGGTTAGCGTGGTCGTAGATATAGGCCCAGTAATGACCAGCTGACGCCTGGCCTTCATGAACAAGTACTGCGTGGAGTCTGTAGGGCACCTGAGCAGGAGTAAAGTGAGAAACAGCTTGGAAATTGGAAAATAATTAAACATCTCAGTGCAGGGACTCCAAATATTAGGACTTTGCTGTGGCATTTTTAATTAATTACTGTACGACCTTCAGCTACATTTCATAAAGGTCAAGTAAGCATAAAGAAATGTAAAACATGTCACTGAATTGCTGTTTTTTTTTTTTTCGTAACAGAATAAATTAGGTGAAAAGAGCCTTACCTGGCAGAGACTGTTGTCTGAGTAAATGCCCTCGAGTGTTTGATTTAGCTTGTCGATGCTGGCTTTTAGTTCTACACACAGAAAGCAGCAGGAATTCAAACCGAAAACAGATTTTACAAACATCTCTGCTCAAAAATAACACAGAAGCCTTTCCCCTTAAACAAAACAGAATCAGTAAAAAAAAAAACTATTGGACACAATATACATTTGTAAATTTATACAGTTTTCCCCAGTTTGAGAGTAATGGGGTGAAGCTTGCCCGTTCTGGTTAGTTTTCATTAAACTTATCAGTTTATTAGTTTTCAGTGACACATTTATTTAAAGGATAATTTGGTCTGTTTAGCTGTTAAAGATCGAGCCAATCACAACTGCAACAAAAACTATAAAAAGTGTTTTCGTTGGCGTACCGTTTATGTCGTGCTCTACTTCGGTCCTCCAGCGCTGTAGGCAGGTTTTAACAAAGTGCAACTCTTCTTCTGTGACGCTGTGAGGAGCTGGGTGTGGGGGGCAGTCCGAGGGGTGTCTGCACTGGGTGAAAGGCTTGTAAATGGGTGTCCGCTGGCAGGTAGAAACCAGGCCCTCTGAGGAATCTGCTTCTCCAGGTTCACTAAAAAGAGCAGGATGAATGAAGTTTTGAACGAGCGGTTCTCCGTTCAGAAACAGATTTCCTGGCGACAACGATGGCCGACACACCTGCCGTCTTTGGCGATGGCTTCACTGACGGGGAGGCTTGCAGGAGTCGGTGAAGACGAGGCCAGTCTCAGATCTTCAGCTGGGGAAACGCTGGTGGGTTTTGTGGTTGCAAACTCCAGAACAAACTGGAGCATGTCTGCTAGAGGATACTTCATAGGACCTGAGCCAAAGTTTTTATAACTTTGGATAAAGACAAAAAATAATAACAAAAAGAAAGAAAAATGTGTTATGGATTATGGGTTTGGTTGTTTTCAGTTACAGGTTTTAGGTTTCTTGAACTGGTGTTTTTTTTTTTTTTAAATCTGGGGTGGTTTTGCTTTTATCAGGTTAATTGGTTTTCATGAAGCGCCTGCTCTTAGTTTAGTATTTTAGTATTTATTTATATATACTATTTACTGTCACGTTTACGTCCTGCTTTATTTCTCTTTTTTGCCTTTGCTTATTTCACTTAGTTGTTCTTTTTATTACATGGTTACACTTCGAGTTTCAATCTCTAATTACAACAATATGTTGTTTTCTTCCTTGTTATTCTTTTCCTGCGTCCATTGCACGAATCTTGTCATTGCTGTCAGCCATTATTTTAATTTTGCTTGGAGCTACAGTATTTCTATTCCTAGTTTTAGGTGCTTTGGGATAAACTACCTCTGTAGTGCTTTGTGTTTTATTTAAATAAGTAATTTTGTTTATTCCTCATCTGCTTCCTGCCTCCTCAGTCCTGTGTTTTGCACCTCCTCAACCAAGAGTAATGGCAAGATTTGCCATTTGACTCACCACTCAAGTTTCTGTTGAAGGACTGCAAGCTGCTCCTTGAGCTTTTTTACTTCTCCTCGTCTCTCATTGGTCCGCTCAATGTTTTTGTGAAGATATCTTCCAAAAAAGAGAAAAACAAACATTTATTTTAAAAAGAATTGCCAAACCGTTATTGTCTTGCATCAAAGTTCATGCTCAATAATCCACGTAAAAAAAAATCCAACAAAGTTCGGTCAGGTCATCTGGACGGTTTCTTTTCTTGCTGAGCTGTTTCATCCTTCATTCAAAGGACTTCATCAGTCAGAGGAGCCACAACAAACTGAGTCCCATAAGCAGAACACTCACATAGTGGGACAACCAGTTTGCTGGTGAGAAGATGGTTTCTGTGGTCCATCTTCTCCCCCGTCGACTCCTCACAGGCAGCCATAGCCAAAGTGGTTCAAAACATCAAAGTCCATGCTCAATAATCCTGAAAGGATCAAAAAGCCTGAGAGGAGTCGACCGGGGAGTGTGTGAGTGTGCTGCTTGTGGGACACAGTTTGTTGTGGCTCCTCGGACTGATGAAGTCCTTTGGATGAAGGACGAAACATCTCAACAAGCATTTATAGTAGGACTTCAAGACAATGTAGACTGCATTCTCCTAGTTTTTTTTTACTAAATTAAGCTCGACTTTATGAATTCAGTTGTTTTTTTTTTTCACCTGTACAAAACTCACCTGTCCATATATACGACTTGTGGAAACTCTAACTTCTTGTGTATCTTCTCAGGACGTCCGAGCTGGGTGTTGAATTCAAATCTAGAGAGTTCAAAGGTCAAGACCGGAGGTAGCTTTTTAAACCATCTCTGCAAGAAACAGAACATAGAGACTTTCTTGGCGGAAGGTCAAACTTGACAGCACATTATTGTTTTTAGGAGTTCAGAGCTGGTCACCTCTCGTCCAGATGTGACACCCTGATCTGAGTGCAGCGACTCGATTTCTTTCTCAACCATTGCACCTTCGAGGCATTCATCCAAGTTGTTGAAGCCGTTGACTTGCAGGGGGTATTGGCCAAACTGCTCAATGTTATACAATATCTTACCTAAACCCAAATAGAAGGGTGTGACTGAATTTAAACTGATAGCACCAAGATAAAAAATAGTCACTAAATCTCGTACCTTCATGTCTCCTCTCTGTCACAAAGGTGCCGTAGAAAAGCTGAACCATGGGGTTCTGTTGCTTGTCTTCTGCGCTCCTTGAAGTAAAATTTATTGTTATATAAGGATAATTTGTTCACCAAAAATTAGTTGAGGAAAACAATCATCATAAACAACAAAAATGTAATGAACATATAGCTTACTTTCCATTGGCAGCCAGCTGAAATGCATCCTCTAACCAGTCAAGCAGCTTATGGGAAAACTCACTGACATCCTGAAAGTAAAAAAAAACATTTTTTTTAAATTTTACCTTCTACTCGTGTGAATGCTGCAGTTGTTGTCCTGTTTTTTATTTTTCATTATCAAATAATAGATGAAAGATCATGGAAACATTTAATATAATTAACAACAGGAAGGGAGCAGATACATGGAGGACGGAATATATGACAAAATGAAATAAACAAATACATAATAATGAAATGATCATTTAAATATTAAATACATCATTAAATAATTTAATTGTGTATTTAATAATTTAATGATGTATTTAATCATTAAATTATACATTTAATTGTTATGTTTGTATTGTGTATTTTTTAAAATTTCATTTCGTCACATTCCGTCCTCCATACAGAAAGTCTTCACGTCTATATTAATATCATGAGGTACATAGATCATGGTGCATGCACATATATGCATTCCCTCGACAGTAACTTATAACTTACAAAATTTGTAACTTTATTTATAAAGTTTTCTCTATAGAAATCTATTGCAATCTCTTCAATTTTGTCAAAAACGTGTTTTTTTTTTTAAATGTCGGCATACACGCTGTATTTTTATCTCCTTGTGCTACTTTTAGTTGTTAGCTACCATATTGCTATTTTTACCTTTAAGCTAGTCTTTTTCTACCTTTTGCTTCTAGTTAGCCTTTTGATACTTAAAATTTTAGCTAGGATTTTTCTACTTTTAGCTAGCCTTTTGCTACTTTTAGCTAGTGTCCTGATTCTTTTAGCTGGTATTCTGCTGTTTTACTTTTGTCCTGATTATTTTAGCTTTAACACCTCAGTTTCAGCCTGTTCAGCTAATTTTGGCAAAGCCATTTAGCTCTCTGAAAAAGTTTCTCTAGTTACAGTATACTTTGTAATGGATATTTGGGAAACTATTTTATAACACTTTATATCAAAGTGCATCATCAGTTTTTGGGCAGATATGCACAAAATGTGCAGGCACGTTGTAAAAATACATATAAATATGTAGAATAAGATTAAAGTGAAATGCAGTTCCAGAAAAAGTGTTCAGGTTGTACAAGAATCCATTTTTTTCTCCCCTCATCTCATGGTCTTCAGTTTGTGAAATGAGTTAGGACCACGTATGACATGTGATCACATGTGATCACATGTGATGACCACTGAGCTACATTCATGACGTTTGTGCAAACATTATGACGGACGTCAGATAACCATCAAAACATTTGCTTGATGTTTGTCAGAACTGTCAATACTTTAAAATCTATATTTGTTGGCTTGTAATTCAACATGAAACTTAATTTTTCAATAGCTTTGTGAATTTTGTAGCTTTGTGTAATTTATTTGTGGTAAAGCTTG